GCTTTAGAATGTGCAGCAAAAAGCTCTGTTTATATTGCAGCTGGATGGAGCACTTACCGCAAAGCGTCACATCCCAGATAGGCTCCGCTTTAAGAAGCCATGGGGAAATGCCAAAAATTAAAAAGACCAAAACAAAAACCTCACCTCCTCCATTAAAATGTCTGCTGTGTTACAGAATTATTTATCCTAAACTTGGTCTCTTTCCATTTTCTTGGTGCAGCAAGTAGCAATGAGGGACACTCCTGTAGGCAAGAGCAGACTGAGTCCCACTAACTGCTGTGCAGAGAGGCCCGTTCACAACCGTGAGAGCAGGAGGGATCTCAAGTGAAGGCAGTAGAAAGCGTGGAACAGCTCTGCGCTTCTAGATTTGGAAGTAAGAGATCCTTTCCTGTGGCAAGGCATGAAAAGCCCATCAATCCCATCACAGCTTAGCAGGCCTCAGAGTCTGGGTGCTGTTCCCTACTGATCCAACTTAACCTGAGTCCCGCGGGAGATAAATTCTCATTTCTCTCRTTTCTGATTATGAATTCCTCTCATTTCTGATACTACTCGACATTTCCCGTTGTGCTGTGTCATTCTGCTGTGTGCTTGGTGCTGGACTTGTGGGCTGTAGAGGAAATTAGCTACCTTACCCACTCCTTGCACATGGAAATAGGAACTTAAAAAAATTCAGGCTACGCTGCTGCTTTTTTTTTTTACCCTCTCTATTTTTCCTCTTTTAGGGCTGTTTAATGTTTGCAGGACCTGCAGGGGGAAAGGAAGTGTAATAACTGATCTAGCAAGGCACAAAACCCTCACAAATATCTACGTCCTTCAGTTGCACCTCCTCTCTACTTTCTTTTGAAAATAAGCAGGCAGAAAAAGGGATGTGTCAAAATGTCACTGCAGCAATTTGCACCAGATAATATTCTGCCACTACTTACATCAATCTCAGATAATTATAATGAATGGAGAACACAGAGAGGCAGAGAATCTGGCCTTGCTTTGCCATAGGGTACAGAAAAAATTCGCACCAAAGTATCCTCTTCTGGGCATTGAGCCTATGATGATTTTTAATCAAATATTCCTCTCTGGTCATTAAAAAGTGCTTTCAACACTGATGCGTTAACAAGAAGGGGGCACATTTTTTGTATAGTTTGGAACATTTTGCAGATTTTTCTAAGCATGTGTGGAATACATTCTGTTAGGAATATGTCAAAAAAATCTTGCATGTTTAACTTTCAGGATTAAAGGCTAAACATTATCACATTTAAAAATAGGCTAATAATTAAACCTCTCATCTAAGGAGGACAAAGATCTTAAAATTTCAATGTCATGCAATGATGGATGAAATGACAGCGAACACAAAATATTATTAACATTAAGATTATCATCCATTCAAGATAAGTGGCAAAAAAAATAGCTATGTTCTGTGGAAATCAGCGAATTGTAGAAAGATTTATCACAGAGTTTCCAGCATGTGGTTTGTGGAGAACTGGTTGTACATTAATCATTTGCTAGTGGACTTCAAGAAATGCGCAGGCTTACAGTGGCTGCAATGCTAATTCCAAGTCCAAAATATGGGACTGATGCCTTCCTGCCTACAGAGCAGACCCCTAATTCAAGTGCCTAAGGGAAGGTATTCACTACAAAACAGATTTGGGATCATTGGCCAAACTGGGTAAAATACAAAAGAGTACTGGGCTTTAGGGAAGAACCATACACCAGTAAGTTTTCAGCACAGAAACAGGTTTTGGTAACCACTGCACTGGTCCTGCTCATGGTGGGAATCCCCCTACTGAAGACAAGGCTCAGGTAGAGGCAAGTTAGGAGACAGCTGTGGCTCTCCTACTGTGCCCACATGGTCCCTTGCTGTACTCCCCATTCTAGAGAGATTCCTCTGGCCATGAAATCCATGCTTTCCGTTGGATTTCATCCCAAATCCATGGAGCTTATGGAAAGATTCCTACTAAGATCAATGTTTTGGGTCTTAGTTACTGCACAGTGGCCCTTGTGGATTTCAGGAGGTCAGAAAAGGACCCCTTGCCTCCAGCAAGTGTCGTGTGGTGGGGGACAGTGACAGAAGTGGCAATGCCTTTGAACAGCCACCGTCACTTGAACTTATTTTCCACCTACCGCCCCCTCCTGCCTTTTAGGGATTTTTATGGAAAACACATTTGTCATGTATTTGATTGCATCTACGCAGGGGAGAACTAGATTGGCATAAAGGTAAACAACTGGCAAATTATTCAGAACTTAAACTCTGCCCGGTGTTTTCTTGTTCCAAAACTTCAGAAATTAGAGACTGCTCACCAGATGTTATAAGAGAAATTACTAATTTAACTGCTAAACTGCTAAAAGGCTCGCTCTGGTAATATTTTCCTGCAGAAAATGTCTGTATCTTGTTAAATGTTTATTGAATACTGTAATTATATTACATTCGCTGTTAAATGATATTGACATTTTTGAATAAAAAGGATTTTTTTCTTTTTCTTTTTTTTTTTTTAGAAAATGTCTGTATCTTGTTAAATGTTTATTGAATACTGTAATTATATTACATTCGCTGTTAAATGATATTGACATTTTTGAATAAAAAGGATTTTTTTCTTTTTCTTTTTTTTTTTTTTTAACCTAGGCAGGATCTATAATGTGAACATCTGGTTGTAACCTAATGTGTGGCATTGAATCAAGAAAAAAAATCTCCCCACCCTCAAAGAAAAAAGCCTTCTGCCAGTGTTTTTCTCTGTGTATTATTTTCTCAAAGTAGCTCGGACTTTTGTAGAGCTAGCTATGATTAAGTATCAGGACTTCCTCACTATCAGCAAATGTTTAAAGGCAAGTAACCAGCAAAGCTTCAGCAAGCTGATGGCTGGTGAAATAAGGGTATATTTAGCAATGAAACAGCTGTTTCTTGAGCAATAAACCAGCTGTTTGGCTTGAAGGATACCTGTTAGAGTTATTAATCATACTAAAAAGCAGAAAAAAAAAATGACCTTGGAAGGCATGAAACACTTTTATTTTTTTTTTTTTTAATATAAAGGTGGCTTTGTCACTATAAGTAGTTTAAGAAAAAAAATCAATAAGGTTTTGGGGGAAACCTTTTAAAGTATACAGGTATTTCAACAGATCCAATTATTATGGCTGCCAGCTACCGATCAAGTTTCTTTTCTTCCTTCAGTGGATGTTGCTATTGCAGAACACTTGCAAAGTGCTTTGTATCATGGTGTTTTCCATATCCATCCTCTCCCCTAAATCTTTCTGCTGAATTACTGTAAAGGGTTCAGATGTGATGTTGGCTAACTGCACCACTTAGCATATACTTTTTTTTTCCCCCCATTTCCCATTGGGTAATGCGAGACAGAAATTTGGCTCTGTTTGGCCTTGGGAACTATCCATAACTCAAAGAATGTGATTTCTACGGGAGGCTGGAATAAGGAATACATATAAAATACTACCAATGACCTGGAGTTTTTAAAGTRGCTTCTCTTTTATAGGCTTTCCTTGTCACGTAGTAGGTTTAACCAACAGAACCTGTCATTTACCGTATATTTGCACTGTACAGACTTGAGACAGAACTCAAATTTTTATGCATGTTGATAAAGGTGTTGCTGGCTGAGCACATCTTTGAAAGCAAAAGCCTCCTTGTATGCAAATAGGACGCAAAGCGGACTGTCCTATGCACAAAGTCATTATAGTGGCTCCATTGTTATTGCAGGTGGTCATGTCTTGCACAGCTAAAATATCTACAAGAAAGACCTATATGCATACGAAGTTTATGGTCTTTGGACAATATATTAATTCTGTAAAAAGTGGACAGATCCCTTTCATCTGGCTAAGTTTGGGGGATTTTCTGAGTGAGGTGCTTGGATTTTCTTTTGCTTTAAATGCCTTTAAAGAGTAAAAAAATAGAAAATAAAATAAAGCTCAGATATTTTAAATGTCTTGGATCTGAGCTATTTTCTTAGCTGAATATTTTGGTCTTTTTTCATCAGAATATAATATAATATTTTTATTGAAATTGAAATATTGAACTATTTTTACGAAAAATAGTAATTTTTCATAAAGCTATATGYATGAACAGAAATGTGAGCAATGGAGAAGATCAGACTCCCGTGAAAGAATAATGTCATGCATTGAAGAGCGCATGGAATATCACAGCTAAAATCTGCTCTCTTTTAGCATGGATTACATTTTTTTATATTAGAGGAAACTTCCTGCTGTACTGCACAATGATTTGAGGGAGTCCTGCACCCCTTGACTGAATGAATATATCCTTGCCCTTTTCCCTGAGGTCCTGGAAAGAGACCCCATGRAAGCCTTGAGAGCTTTTGGGAAGCATGGTGGGTTCCTATTTAGCTAYCACCAGTATAAATCTGCCAGTGACTGGATGATGTATCACGGATTTATTGTTTTATTTGCCAAGCATATCATAAAAATCTGCCTCAGCTTGGTAAGTACTAATCCTAAGTATCATKTACACTGCTCATAGTAAGAGAAATCAGCATTAATACTATGAGCACTTTATTACCAATGGAATCATTCTTAGCTTCTCAAAAAGTGTTAATTTCTCCCTGTAACAACATTGTGACATAGATTGCATTTTTTTTTTTCATTTTTTTTCCCTTCAACTCAAATAGAAAGCAAAACTTTCATTGCAGGCAATGAAAAGGTTCACATGAATTCAAGTGCATGTGGGTGGAGGTTTAACCTCATCCTTACATTCAGGATTGATAAGCAGCCACTCTCTAATCTATAGTGGTTTATACACAGTTGCAAAACATAAAGCTGACATAAGTCCTCCATGGAAAAGACAGCTRTAGGAAAGGAAATAGGGAGGACCAGACCTTGTCTCCATCACACACTGTATTGGCCCCAGCCCATTTGAAAAAGATCTGGTTTAATCGGCAGCACAGGTTCGCCTTACGAGGGAGATGAGCTTTTATGGGAGACATGGGCTCTGGCAGCAAGGCCAGTAAGCTGTGAGTCTCCTTCTGGCTTCTGGAAAGGGCTTCTGCTCCAGGAATAGCAAAATTGTTCTCCAGATACCACCAATAACAACAGAGCTGAYGTGCTGGCTGTTTGTAAGTTTTTTCTCTCTTACTGAAAAATTAAACACTGGATATAATTCAACACCGTGTACTGTGGCTCTGGTGCTTTAGACACATTATGGGAATGTAAGTGGCTTGGAAAGATGCCATTCATTTCTCCACAGGTAGGTGTCTGTCAGCACCGATGTTACAAAATGTTTTTCCTGGGTYGATATTGGAATTTAGAGGTTTGCACACTGAAATTTGTCATGCTGAGTGCTAACCAGAGAGATTTTGACAGACACCTAGAAATGAATGGTCTTAATAATAAAAGTAACATGAAAATGTACTAAAGCTTCACAGATTACGGAGCAGCCTGTTGAATTATGAAGTTCCTGTTTGCGTGCGATGCCTCCAACAGGGCAAGCATGAGGATGTGGTGGTGGGTCTGCAGTTGAACCCTGCCAGCCGCCTGGTTGGCAGCACTGTGACATCTGGTGACTGTGAAGCACAGCATGTCACACTGCTGATGGGATACTTCTGTCCTCTGCATGCTCTGTTTTCATAAAACTAGCCAAAAATTGAGATTTTGAATTGGGTTGAAATTGGTCTGGGAGTTAGGGGTATGTGAGAAAGACTGAAGTCATACCAGATAGCTCATTCCATAAACTTCACTTCTGTAGGATCTCACATTCAAAAATACTGCTCTGAATTCCATAGTACATATTATGTATGTCCATACGTCTACCTTAAGGCATGTGCCTAAGTATAACTTAAACTTAAACTTCCAGAGGGACCTGGACAGGCTGGAGAATTGGGCAGAGAGGAACCTCMTGAGGTTCAACAAGGACAAGTGCAGGGTCCTGCACCTGGGGAGGAATAACCCCAGGCATCAGTACAGATTAGGGGTCAACCTGCTGGAAAGCACCTCCACGGAGAGGGACCTGGGAGTCCTGGTTGACACCAAGTTAACCATGAGTGAGCAGTGTGCCCTCGTGGCCAAGAAGGCCAATGGGATCCTGGCCTGCATCAGGAGGAGTGTTGCCAGCAGGTCAAGGGAGGTGATTCTGCCCCTCTACTCAGCTCTGGTGAGGCCGCACCTGGAGTACTGTGTKCAGTTCTGGGCACCCCAGTAYAGGAAGGACGTGGAGCTTCTGGAGAGGGTCCAGAGAAGGGCAACCAGGATGATTAAGGGAATGGAACATCTCTCGTATGAAGAGAGGCTGAGTGAGCTGGGCCTGTTTTCTCTGGAGAAGAGAAGGCTCAGAGGGGATATGATTAATATGTATAAGTTCAGGAAGGGAGAATGCAGGGAGGAAGGGGACAGGCTGTTTTCACTGGTGGCCAGTGACAGGATGAGGGGTAATGGCCACAAGCTGAAGCATAAGAAGTTCCGTCTCCAGGTGAGGAGGAACTTCTTTACTGTGAGGGTGACAGAGCAGTGGAACAGGCTGCCCAGGGAGGTTGTGGAGTCTCCTACTCTGGAGGTCTTCAAAACCCGCCTGGATGCCGCCCTGTGCCACATGCTCTAGGTGTGCCTGCYTGAGCAGRAAGGTTGGACTAGATGATCTSTAGAGGTCCCTTCCAACCTTAAATATTCTGTGAATTCTGTGAATTCTGTAAACAGTTTGAAAATTTGTTGGTGGATTTCTATATGTATTGGGAAAGATCATATATAATATACCCATAAACTATTTTCATATCTACATATAGATACACAAATACAGCACACTACAGATATACAGATATATACAGTATATAGATTTTCCAGAAAGAAAAATCCCACTAATATTTTCTGCTGCCCMAAAAATTCCCAAAGTATATCCTTAACAAAAATAATTGCTTGTTGTTTCTGAGTCTCTTTTGCCAGGCCAGAACTAGTAGATATCCATTACTTTGTGGAGATATAGAAAAAGTAATTCTCAAGAACATTTTAACCAGCAGAATCTTTGCTGAGCAGCCATCCAAAGAACAAAAGTAAAATTCAGACCTTGGCCAGTAAATCAGCAAATCTGAGGAATTTCCAGGCAGAGTTTCCAAAGAACCCTTTCCCACATGTCCTCCAGGCTTCCTCTGCCATGCCTCCTTGGAACTCATCTATCATACAAAGTGCAAGGCCAGACTGTCAAACAACTGTCTCTGCTAAACTCTSCAAGCTAGAGAGGAGTGATTGTTCACAATGTCCAGCCTGCAGCTGGATATTCTGTAATAATCTGCTTATATACTAATATAAAAGGAGATCCATTGTAAAATATGCTAAAAGTTATTGTTACAACATAATTATTTTTAAAAAGTTTATCTTTTCTGGATTTTGCATTCCAGCAAATTAGCAATATAGCAGTCCTTGAGAATGACTGGTTTATTTGTAATTTTAACCTTTTTTTTTTCCCAAATATTTYCAGGCTAATTATGGTTGGAATGTTTTTTATAAAACCTTATATTCACTCCTCGCTTTCAAATACATACCATGTTGCTCTTCACAAACTGTTTTGCTAGGTGTTACTGGTGAGTTAAATGCAGCGTATCCATTGCATTGCTGTATCAGGGTGCAAGGATTCCTGGTAAAATACCTGCAAACACATCCTTAAGCACTGTAGTCYGTTAATTGCATTAGAATGGAAACAGAATAGTCTCCAAACTGTGCTTGTTTATTTTTAAATGCCCGTATTTTAGTAGCAGTTATTAGATCTCTGGCCCTCATCTAAATTCTAGCAATATTTCATTAGTGCTTTTATTTATTTATTTACTTTTACAGAGCAAGGATACATGGTTAGGCTTCAGGACCCCAAGCTTTATTTTATGTAAGGTTCTTAAAGGCAGCTGAATCCAAGGAAAAATATACTAGTAAGTAGAAGGYGCCAACTGTGACAAGTTTTTTGCTTGGATATTTTCTGTTCAGATCTGTTTTTCTTTTCATGCAGAATTCCAATAAGCTTGTTTGATCAATGCCATCTGCAGGCTTTCCGAAGACAGTAATTTTGTTCTTTGGGGTCTTGATTCTTCCAAAATCCGTTTTCTACTTTACACAATGAGTTTGGTTGCATTGACTTTGATGGGAGTACCTGCCAGTCAAAGAGGTAAGTTTGCTCATGAGTCTTCTAGAATAGTGTTTCATTATTTAAAATATATTGCGAAATATAAATATTCTAAATAACCAGCAAAAAAGGTTTACAGGTATGCAAACTATTTCTCAGAATAATGCAAATAATAGAATCCTGCAATTGGATCCATTTAAAAAAAAAAAAAAAAGCTATTTGCCATAGAGAGCTCCAGCACTTAAAGCAGAATGCTAGGTAAATATATATTCAATAGCAAGAATGGAGTGGCAATGAAAAAAAAGTCTCTATCTGCTGTCCTAACAAATGCATTAGGAAGATGCAATTTGCCATACATGTTGTATATTGACCAACAAGAAATCTGCCTGCTTCGTATCTCTCATCTTCTGTTGAAATATATTTGACATTAAAATTATAACTTAATAAAAATATATAAAATTATTAAAAATATTGTCAAGAGCATCTTGTTGCACACAAAATTGGGGAAAGAAAATGAATGACATATATCTCTGGGGCAGCAAATTCCAAATTTCTTCAAAACATAAATGGGAGCTTCTCTTGTATGGTATAGATACCAGACAAATTTCTTGCCTCTTTCTTCCAGTAAACCTGTGCAATGGGACTGGTGGTTGCAAATTTGAGATGCAGTTCAACTCTTCCCACATTTTAGGTTGATGCAAATATGGGCATTCTATTCTTTTTACCTGAGGAGGGATTGTGTGCTCTAAACCTTGCCTATTTTTTCAGCTCTTTTACTTAGTCTAATAAAAGGCAGTATCTCTCTCTACAAACCTGGTCTTGCTTATGTCTTTAGACCATCATAGCTGCAGGAACTCTACTTATAAAACATAATGCATCTAAAAAATAACACGTCCATTAGAAGGCAGACATAATTTTCTTATAAAGCTGAAGTGAAATGTCAACATTTTTATAATTCATGAGCAAAAGCAGGAGGCAGAAATGCTGGTGGTCTGATCCCTAATTGTTTTAAAAGGCAGTAAAGACAGATTGTTTCTTTTAAGATGTTGCAGTGGCTTTTTTTCCCTAACTCATAGAGGTAATTTCTCATAGCACTGCTCATAGTTCTGTATGAATCTGATTCCTTGAAAGGGTCCTTATAAGGCTTCGTACCTCCAGAACAGCCTTCTCTTGGTACCTATTTCTTCTTGGAAGAATCTCTTTCATCATGTCATGCAAAAAAAAAGGTTAAAGTCAATTCCTCTTTTCTTCTTAACACTCTCAGCCATTATGTCTGGGAAGACCAAGGCACATATAAAGTGAGTACTGGTAGTATTAAAAATTATGAATATTTTCTCTGTAATATTAATTTCATTAACATCATTAATTTATATTAATTAATGAATAATTATATGTTAAATATATATTTGTTGCATAATATTATTTACATTAATATTGCAGTGTTAGAAGAAACATCAGATACCCAGCAAGGAGAGTTAGATGCATAACCTTTGAAAACAGTGGATCACTGGGAGGTAAAGAAAGAAGGCCAAGTTTTTTAGCCATTTGCAGCTGTTATGTAAGCCCCATGACCAGAAATTTAGAAGAGAGCTTTTATTAAGCTTGTATCTGAAATGAAATGAAGCTTATGGAATAAACAGATGACCAACATGACACAGAAAGATATGATTGGAAGCAACTATTTCTGCTACAAAAGCTATTTCTGGGAGAATGACCTACTAAAAGGTCACTCTTAAGTTCCTTTAAAATAGAAGTTTCTTTGTTTAACATAGCCTTTGCAGGGAAGGCAAAAGCAATTCAGTGTTTCTGGTCAGTGATGGAAGTATTAGGATGTAGGTGGAGGATGTTTCTTTGAGAAACAAAATTCCATGAAAACAGAAACAGAGATGGACTGAAGGTGTTGGGAACAGGTCAGAAGAGACACTATTTTCCAAAACACTTCCTGGTTTGGAGGCAGTGGATCTAAACCAGGCTATTGGGGTTGTCATGTCCAGACTCTCTGGGTCATAATTTTATGCTCTATTTGAAGCACTGAGATTAACCGGGGGGTAGAATTTTAGTCTGGGTTGGTTAATGAACATCAGGAGTGAACATTAAATCAAGTCTATCGTTAGCCTTCTTTGAGAAGGGATTTGGGTCAAATCACCTCCAAAGGTCCCATCCAACCAAAAATCATTTTGTGATGCTTAATATGATCTTATGCTATAGTGCCTTCTGCCATACCAGTGAGTTAAACATTTCCAAGTTACAAACATTCTGTGTCATGAGGGATTTCCTTGCTTCTGCAGCCTATGGGATACAGCCCATAGCCTTGAGCACTAGTTCCATCAAACCCTGATTTGCTATTTCATTGTACATGCTCCCTGTTACAGAGTGCTTTTTAAGTCTAGCAATTCAATTTGTTTCTGCTGCTTCTCATCTCCACTTTTCTCTTATTACATATATATATATATATATATATATATATATAAAATGAGCACCACTTGCAGTTCTTCACTGCTAACATCCTCTGCACATAGACATCTATCTGCCAGTTACATCCTTTCTCTTTAAAAGCCTAATTGTTGTCTTTCGAAAGCTAATATTAAGCTTCATTTCTTTCTTTCAGGACTTGGAAGGACTTATAAATCATCATAATGACAGCTAGTAAAGACTAAATAAAACCATTATCAACCTGATGTAAATATTTCTTTGCTAGATCCATCAACCCTCAAACCATTATGCTCCCTGCTAATCCTCTAGCCTTGTAAAGCTGTATTGTCTAGAATATACGGCAAGTTGTAGAAGTGCCTTTCACCTGATATTCTGAAATCTTTAGGCTTTTGATCAGAAGAGCGGTCTTGTGGTTATTGCAGGGCAAGAAGACAGAAGAGCTGCCTTCATTTCCAGCCCTGACCCAGATTTCCTGCAGGACATTGAACAAGTCGTCAGAGCTTGGACAGAAAGTGGAGAGAGGTGCTCGGAAGCCAATACACAGTGGTAAGAAATTAGAGAGGCAAGTTTCTGTACCTACGGAAACTACAATCCTTGCCTTAAAGTGATGTGCTTCTCTGCTTCTCAAGATGGTATTTAACTATCTCATAACTATCTCRTATTCTCTAGGTGATCCTGTATGTTTTGCTTTCTATGGACTTCTGTAGATACTTGTTTGTGCTTTTTCCCTTGTCTYTCCTCATTATCCATCTTCTTCTCCCCTTCTCTCCCCACCACCCACTTTTTTCAAGTTATCCAGGAAGCTCTCAAGAATCTTTAGGCCTATACTTTGGACCTAAACAATGTGTTTTATTTTCTGATACTGGAGAAACAAAATGACTGAGTCCATCTAGCTGGTACTGAACCACTGACAAAATTAATTGTACTGGTATCAGAGATTCGGATGACTCCTCCAGGGCTAATTCTCTCATATATGCATGTCTTTTTGTCAGTGCTTTTGTAAGCCTCCAAATGAGGTTCATACCTTTCCCTGAGATATAACTGTTGCTGTATGTTCTTCATGGGAATGATGAAAGTCAGTTGGAATTACTGATGAGTGGACTAGAGCAATCCAGGATTGCGATGAATGTGAGCAGTGAATCATCAGTGACTGTTTCAAGTAATACGTTATTGAACTTGAAGTGCCTGTAATTACCAGGACATGACACTTCAGCTGAACATTTTCGTGCCAAACATGGGACAAATACGATACTCATCTTCATGAATTGAAAGCTTTTGAGTGAGAAATTGATTAATCACAAAATGGTGTGTGGTTCTTATATAGCAAGTTAATTCATACCGTTTTTATTTTTTTTTCAGTAGAACAGTGCTCATTTACATGATGGACAAATTTATCAAGTAAGAACAAAATTATTGTGAAATGTTCCTACCAGGTTTCATTTGACTTTTGTCCCATGAGGTTCCATCATCTTKCAAAGTACTGACCTTGCTGCTAATCAAGAAATAACTCTATAGCTTCTCATGCCTGTTAATCTCCTGCACTGATCATCCCTTAGGAAACACTACTCTGTGTTCAGTTTGCTGCCTAGAAATAACTTATTTGGCCACCTGATTATAATCGATATCTTTGGCTCACTTCCTATAGCTTTTTACCTCAGAATATGTAATATGTATAGGATGGAAACCTTGCACATGTTTACAGAGCTGATGGTGRTATTCAAAATGATGAAACCTACAGGATACAGGAAATCATGGAGATAAAGGAACCTTGCTTTTCTAATAGAACACAGTTCTAGTGAAATCTAAGAGTTTCTGAGGCGTAACACAAAACTGAATGTGAGCAGACTCCCACATTCCCACAGTAATAGAACATCCCTCCTGGAGATGAAACCAACCCAGTCAAAATAATTGACTTTACAGAAAAGAGATGGAAAAGTAGACTGAATATTTTTTTGAAGCATCAGGAGCGCAGATCTGTGCCTCCTGCACAAAGCAGCATAATCAGAGTAGCAGTGGCACAGAGTGGACCTCAGGTTCACCTCAGCCCTCATTTCCTGAGGTTCTTTTAATGCCACTAAAGTGTATTAAAGGCAATCTTCTTTGGCAGAATTTCAAGAGAGAAGGGATATTATAAATGCAGCAAGAGTGGAGAAAAACAAACGATCATCAGTAATGTCCTTTTAACATTTTGTGTGTGAGGGAGAGTATGTGTGCACACATGTAAGTAATCTGCATTTAAGCTGATTTTACATTAAATGCTGTCAGATGCAATAAATGAAGGAAAAAAAAAGATTCTCTTGTCATGTCCACATTTGGGTAAGCCTGAGTATTGCTGGTAACAGCTGTAGATAAAGACAGATATTTCATACTATTGCTGCTCCTTCAGGAAAGGTAACTTGTAACCAGTTGTGAGGTTTCATATAAGCTTCATTATATCTATTTCTCTTTATATCTTTAAAGAAAAACAGAACAGTGCCAGCACACTGTATATATTAGCAGGTTAACATATTGGGCTATACTTGCACTTTATTGTAAATGTTTTTGGTACTTCTTCTAAGTCAGTGTTTATCTTGGGTATTTTCTTAGTTCACAC